GTATAAACATCAATTCTAATGGATAAAAATGTGTCAGATCACGTATAAACGTCAACTCTAATGGATAACAATTTGTCGGATTACGTATAAACGTCAACTCTAATGGATAACAATTTGTCGGATTACGTATAAACGTCAACTCTAATGGATAACAATTTGTCGGATTATGTATAAACGTCAACTCTAATGGATAACAATTTGTCGGATCACGTATAAACGTCAACTCTAATGGATAACAATTTGTCGGATTACGTATAAACGTCAACTCTAATGGATAACAATTTGTCGGATCACGTATAAACGTCAACTCTAATGGATAACAATTTGTCGGATCACGTGTGTTAGTAATGGGCCCATCATTAAATATGTATGTTTATAGTGTTGGGACAACTCACCGTGTGTTAGTAATGGACGCATCATTAAATATGTATGACTTGTAACATTCAGCAAGACCTAATCAAAACTTCTTCCCACGTATCGATCTGCTTGGTGTTGAAAGATTCTGCCAAATTGATCCTGAACTCGATAAGACTTAATGATGTCAAATAATACTCTATTATTTTCTTCCCCAGTGAAGTTTTCTTAAATCGGCTAAGGTTTCCTAAACTTGCCAATAGTTTAGTTTTAGAGTTAATTTTAATGTTTTTTTCTATGTTTCGTATCGTGAGCTCTGATTTGTGAATTCCTTTTTTTTTTAAACTTAATATTTTAAGGGAAAAAAAATATTATTCTGTTGCCTGGTTACTCTTGTATTTATTTTGTAGTACATACTTTACCAATAAAAGAAAGTTCTGGAATATATTTTTAATATTAAAATTCATTATATTATTACATAATAATGAGTAAGATATATATTTGTTGCTTTTGAAGACAAACATAATATGGTTTAAATTGTTGTAAATTGTGCTTTACCACGGTAACTTCGTACAGCTTGGAACTTGAGGATTAATCTGTTACCTTAAGTAGCCAATAAAAAGTACTTGATTTCAAGCGTGGAAAAGCTAGAATAGGTCTCAAATCTGTAGTCTTTGAAATTGTAATATGTACATTTTATGAACAGCGGGCCTAAGTTCGCATCCTAAAAGCTATTAAAAATAATGATTTAGTATAGTCAGATGATAAAACAACAACTGTATTGGAGGTGGATAATTAGCATTAAAGATTAAGACACGGTTATATTGCTTCTTCTAGTGATATTTAATGACGACAGTTGTCCATCGTAACTAAGTATGACAGTCAAGTATTTCACCTTATTCTGGCATCTTCGGGTCTTTGCCGCAGTGCCTCACTGACTGGATTAGGTAACCTATGCGTTGGGTCCGTCATATTTAACCAAAATGCTCTCTAGTATTTCATGGGCCAAATGGTTTTATGTTTGTCTAAAATCCTATGGATAGTAACATTCCGTGAATTTGACTTTTAGGTACTAGTTTCACGTGTTATTTGTGTGAAATCGACCTGAGATTATTGTGAAATATTCTAGTATACAGCTTGGAATCTGGCAGAACGGGGTAAATACCTATCAGCTACAGTTCGTGTTCATTCAAACAGTCGTGACAACACTGTTGTGGAGCTACTTGACGTGCAGAAGAAAGAAGAAGATAAGGAAATGCAAGTTATTTAAATTATGTAATGCTCACCGGAGTATAAAAATGTAGACTTTTGTAAACTCAGATAATCTGTAACTCCAGGAAAGATTTTTAGAAATAATAATGATAGATTTACTTAGGAAATATTTACTGTCTTAACATTATATTTTATAACATTTATTAGACCTTAAGGCCTTTTTTTTTACTTTACTGAACATGTTAAACATTGACAGTAATTGAAAAATACTGTTTGAGAAGTATTTTTGTAGGTTGTTTTTTTATCTTAAGACATTGTTTTGTCGGAGTGAGGTTTGAAAGTTTAGGAAATTGTTTGACCAGTATAAAAATTCAAGTCAGGCTTGAGTAAATGATGATTAATTATTGAGTTAGCAAATTTACTTGTTAATTTATATGGCATTGTCAGTAAGTTCAGTCTTGTTTCAACAAAGTGCAAGAGGTGCAAAAATTGATGTGAAGATACATACATGCTTGAATGATGTTAATGTTGATGTGAAGATACATACATGCTTGAATGATGTTAATGTTGATGTGAAGATACATACATGCTTGAATGATGTTAATATTGATATGAAGATGCATACATGCTTGAATGATGTTAATATTGATGTGAAGATACATACATACATGCTTGAATGATGTTAATATTGATGTGAAGATACATACATACATGCTTGAATGATGTTAATATTGATGTGAAGATACATACGTGCTTGAATGATGTTAATATTGATGTGAAGATGCATACATGCTTAAAGGATGTTAATATTGATGTGAAGATGCATACATGCTTGAATGATGTTAATGTTGATGTGAAGATGCATACATGCTTGAAGGATGTTAATATTAACATGAAGATGCATACATGCTTGAAGGATGTTAATATTGATGTGAAGATGCATATGTGCTTGAATGATGTTAATGTTGATGTGAAGATACATACATGCTTGAATGATGTTAATATTGGTCTAAATGTTCATTGTTTTAATGAAATGTCAACTTTATTCCCACAGAAATGGTGACATTGTCAAATTAACAAAAGATGAGAACACTCATCCACAAAGGGAGAACTTTGAAGTATTCCTTCAGACTTTAATTAGCCAAGTCCTTGATCCAAATTTTATTTCAGAAATCATCAAAGAAAGTGGTAAGTGTATGATTTTTTTTACATGTTATATTACAAGGTGTATATCGTAAAGTAATGGGCTCGTTACATTAATCTTGTGATTAGGGGGAGGGGAGTTTAAAGAAACATTGATAACAGCTGATAGTGTGTAATTTCAAATTCAAACAATTTTTGACTTTCATCTTATGGCATGAACCAATAGATGTGTGATATTTTTATTGTAATAAAGTCATGAGTTATGTTTTGCAATGTCACTACCATCAGATTCTTGGTTCACTGCCCACCACCATGACATGTTTGTTCTTTCCAGAAAAGTCCACTACCATGCCTGAACACTTGGCTATAAGTAACATCAGAGCATAATGAATTAGGTGTCTTACAAATCTTTAAGAATTTTAAATATTGGTACAGAAGATAGAGATAGTGTGACATGTTGAAGTTATGTTCGAAAACTAATGATGATCTCAGTTTACTAATAACAAATATATACAGGATTGTGGTTTCTTTTTCATCACGAAAGGGAAATAAATATGATGTTGAACATATTAAAAACAATTTAGTGTTTGTTTTTTTTTGGCTAAGTTTTTGGAAAATGCTGTTGGTTTTATATACAAATTTTGACTTATCAACAAATCTTGTGTAATTTGTTTTTTCCACTGAAGAAAATGACTGCTTTTACCATGTAAGGTTTTAGTGCCAGTACAGCATCAAAATGTTATACACGTATCTGTTTTCAGATGAGTACTTCCTCTCCCATGTGAAGGGAATAGAGAGAATAACGACAGATAAGAAAAAACTTCTGTTTCAGCAGGCGTCTTTGGAGCCAGAGCTTCTGCAGTGTGCGGAAATGTATCCGTGTGTTAATGTAATGCCCCGAAAAGATGCCGAATTGGTTAAGTGTCAGGTAACAAGATATCTAGTTTTGGTCATTCCGTATAACTTTTCCCTTTTTTAATACGCTCCAATCTGGCTACAATTTTACAGGCTGTTAGATCCATATAAGTAGAGTATTTGTACAGAACTTCAGATATTAACTTACACCCTCACAAAAGTAAAAAAATTAAAAATGCGTGTCAAATGTAAGCCCTCTTTAGGTTACCCATTAGAATTGACGTTTATATGTGATCCGACAAATTTTTATCCATTAAAATTGACGTTTATATGGTGAGTTGTCCCAACAATATAAACATACATATTTAATGATGGGTCCATTACTAACACATGGTGAGTTGTCCCAACAGTATAAACATACATATTTAATGATGGGCCATTACTAACACATGGTGAGTTGTCCCAACAGTATAAACGTACACATTTAATGATGGGTCCATTACTAACACATGGTGAGTTGTCCCAACAATAGCCTACATCAAAACTTTTAACTTGTGATTTCTCATCCTTCCAGATGTTTTGATTATGGCCTTGTCCAGATAGCCTACATCAAAACATTTAACTCGTGATTTCTCATCCTTAAGGAAATAATAATTCGTGACTTGGGATTTCATTCACTGCCTTTTGGGAATAAAAAACTTTTCTCCTTGTAGTCCACTTCTTAATAATAAAAGAACTATCAGAAATTATAGTCGTCTATAGATTTTTCTCTGTGTTTCAGTATCATGGAAGAGGAAGTCGAGGACGGGGTAGGGGAAGAAGAGGGATGGGGAGAAGACCTGGACGGCGATCACTGCTTTGTAAGGATGATATTGACATTGAGAGTCATGATAGTAAACATACGTTTTCAGAAACGGAGACAAAACTTGATGAAGGAAAAGTAGAAGAACAACAAATAAGGCACAGCTCTAGGTACTCTCGTCGTAGTAAGCAACAGGAAGTGAGAGAATGCTTGTATCGAGTAAGTGAAAAAATCTACTGCCAGAAAACTTTTATGTGTTCGAATAAGTGTTTATACATTTGAATTAAGTGCTCGAAGTACTTGTTATGAAATACTAATACCCGTAAGAAAATGTATAATAGTTCAAACATTTAAATGGAATTTTAAATAACAGTGTCTTTATTTTCTAAAATTTATGCTCTCGTGTACGTATTGTTATGAATATCTGTTTGTAAATCACTCAAGTAACAATATTACTTGAACCAGCAAGCATTTTGTTAGTCTTAGGATATTTGATTGTAGTTAATTTTCTGTATCTAAATTAAGCACATTTAGGTTTAACACTTAGGTAACAAAAGTGTGAAAATATCAGAATGTAAGGGTTAAAATGGTCGAGTGTACCTGAGCTGTTAAATGTGATGATTACATGATGAAGAGGTAGCAGCCTATCTTGATAATATTCACCCAGTATTCACTACTTTCCTAGGACTGACCTTATTCTATTAAATATATTTAACTTTTGAATGAAGACTAAAACTTTAAAATTGATTTAGTTTGAGTGAAACATGAAATCTAAAACAAAAATTACAATGTACATTTCAGTATTGGATATTTTAAAACTTAAATAGTTCAAAACAATCTTCTTTGTGTGTCAGAATATTTTGCCTTTCACGAGGCTTCAAAAATCAAGGGTCTTAAGTTCAATTCCCATTGCCACCAAGATTGCTCCCCCTGTCTTTGCTTTGGAAAATTGCTAAAGCTGTCTGCCACTGTAACTCATTTTCACTTGCTGACTAGAGGGGAAGCAACTGGTTGGCAGCAACATTAGTAAAATTTTTTTCTTTTTACTATGTTTTTTTCTATTGTTGTATAAATGGACTGGTGTGTATTTATTATGAGAAGCAGTTATTTTAAGTAATCCGTGGTTGACCTTTCTGTAACTTTTGATCTACCTCCTAAACTCTGTGTGTGTGTTTAATAGATTACTTGAGAAATTTTATGCTGTTGCATCTGTTGACTTGCAACTGTTATATTGGAACTTGTTAGCTTGCATCTGTTAGCATGCAACTGTTATATTGGAACTTGTTAGCTTGCATCTATGAGCTTGCAACTGTTATTGTATTTGAGAATAGGAAACACAATAATTTGAGATACATATTCATTTTTGTCTTGTAGCCTGGGGACTTCATCTTATCGAGTGGCTATGAACTCGATAAGCATCCTCCTTTGTGGAGAATAGAAGGAAAATCCTTGCTTCAGAGGTTTGAAGCTTACGAGGCTGATGGAAAAGTCCTGTACAGAAATTCTTCTTCTGTAAGTAAACTTAGAGAAAAGTATTCTTTTAAATCATTCAAAGTGTTTAATTGTTTTTGTATTTTAACTTCAGTGTAGATGGTCTACATTTGTAGAAATTTTGTTTATAGTGTTGGGACAACTCACCATGTGTTAGTAATGGACCCATCATTAAATGTGCACGTCTATACATGATTATGGCCTTGTCCAGATAGCCTACATCAAAACTTTTAACTTGTGATTTCTCATTCTTCCAGATGTTTTGATTATGTCCTTGTCCATAAATGTTATTAAATTGGATAGAAAATTGGCTGGAGAGTAGAAAGCAGAGAGTAGTAATAAATGGAGTTAGATCTGACTGGATCACAGTTACAAGTGGTGTGCCTCAGGGCTCTGTGCTGGGTCCTCTGTTGTTTGTGATTTATATTAATGATATTGACTCTGGAATGACTAACATGAAGTTTGCAGTTGACATTAAGATTTTCTTGGGTGACTAACTGTATCAAAGATGCTTCAGACTTACAAAGATATTTAGATCATTTGATGCATTGGGCCAATACGTGGCAGATGATGTTTAACTATCCAAAGTGTAAGGTGATGCATGTAGATTTTCACAATTCAAATTATTGTTATGATTTAAATGGTAACACATTTAATACCATGGCTGAAGAAAACAATCTTGGTGTTTTGATCTAAAAATCATTTAATTCATCTAAACATTGTGTTATAGGTAGCAATAGGGCTAATAAGATTTTGGGTAGCATCTATAGAAATATTTAATACAAGACAAGAGATATTATTGTTTCACTGTATAGATCACTTGTAAAGCCTCATTTAGAGTACTGTGTTCAGTTCTGGGCTACCTTCCTCAAGAAAGACATTGAATTTTTGTGGAAGATTCAGGGAAAAGCCACTAGGATGATACCTGGGATGGTGAGATTGTCCTATGAGGAGAGACTAAAATCTCTAAACTTGTTTTTTCTGAAGAGGAGAAGGATCAGAGGGGATATGATTGAGGTGTTTAAGATTATTAAGGGTATTGATAATATAGATCCATCAAACTTTTTTGTGTTTAGAAGTAAAAACAATAGGGGTCATAAGTTCAAATTTTGGCAGCATAGGAGTTGTCTGCAGTTTAGACAGTATTATTTTTCAAACACGATGGTTGGCTATCAGAATGAGCTGCCTTCAATGGTGTTGGAGGAAGAAAATTTAACTCAGTTCAATAAAAGATTGGATGAATACATGGGTAGGAAAGGGTGATTATGGTTGGAAGCTGGAAGGGACATCCTTGATGGGCTGATAATCTCCTTTTTGTCCCTTTAAAATTTTATGAAATATATACATATTCCTGTATCTAGATAAGTTACTTGTACCAGGGCTGACGAGGGGGGGGGGACTGGCCCATGGTCTGTTGAGGGACCCGACAGTGGGATATTCCAAAGCTCACTAGAAATACATACTAATTAATGAACTAAAATGGTTACTGCTTTTTCATGGATTCATGAAGAGAATTGTAACCTAAATTTCATTTATGAAAAATCATGAAAAGTTAATAAATAGAATGAGGGAGGGGGGCGATGATATTACTGACAACTTAAAAGAGTTATCTCCTTACACAAATCATTGGTTAGGCCTCATTTGATCTCCTTGTATAAAAAAAGAATACTCACTTATTGAAAAAGGTTCAGAGGAGGGCTACTTTTATGACTACAGAGATAGAAAGGTTATTTTATGAGGAGGTTAATGTCTATTGTACTTTCTCACGAGAAAATAAGGTTAAGAGGTGATCTTATGTAAATTTACAAAATTATCCTTGAGATTGATTGGATGAAAGCCTCTGATTTCTTTATGCTGTATCCTGAGGAAAATAGGATGAGTGTTTAAAATTTTGAAAAGACAGGATAGACACCACTTAAAATGGATTTATTTATCTAACAGGGTGATTATTTTATGGAATGAGTTGTCAACGATAGAAGTGGAAGCTGGCAAATTAGTGAATTCCTTTAAACTAAAGAGTGGGTTTAAAATTATTTTTACTGTTTTTTTCTTCAGCAGTGGATGTACAAGAATAGCCTTGAAGGATTTCCATTATCTGTATGTTATATTAATGAGGATCATATTCCTAGTTTTAGGACAGCAGTCTTTTTAAAAAGGTTCAAAATGTGAACTTGAATATTAGTGGAAATAAATTTAAATTTCTGAAGCTGAGGTTCAGATGTAGTATTTGACAAATATATATATATATATAACTTTATGAGATAGCTTGGCTAAAGGTGTTGTGCATAATGTTTAAATGCTGGTGAGGTAACTTGTATTTTACATTAAACAAAAACACAGTTAATAGTTCAAGTAACCTGAACAATAGATTTTTATATTGATGTTCCAATTTTAACAAATACACGATTGACATATTTACAAAATGAAAATCCTTGATAACTTATTATTGTTTTTCTAAAATAATAAACATTTCCTCTATAACTTTAGATCATAGTGGTATAACATGTTGCCAATTTATGTAGTAGACATGGTTGTTGGGGTTGTGTTAAAAAATTGCAGGTTCCATTATCTAACACAATTATTTTTATTTCAAGGTCCCTAGTGAAAGAACAGAGGTTTCGAGTCATCACTAGGACAAACAATGGACCCATCGACGTGGTCTGCCTATACACAACATTACTCTAGACTAGGTAGTACTGTGGGTTCTTCTCCTGCATCTTTCTCACAACAAGCTCAACTGAGTGAATTGGGATTGTCATCTACATTATCACGTCAAGATCATGTTGGAAGTTATAGTGCTGGAACAACTCCTCATCCTTTTCTTTTAGCACCTCATCCAGGATTAAACCCTCCACAACCTCCTAATCATGTTGAGGCATCATTCAATTCTGCCAATATTTTGTCTTCTGGATATGAACATAACCTTCTTTCTGCTCAGTTTCAGTCTGCTGCAGCAAAGAGCCATTTTACTGGACTGCCAACAGGAGCAGGGTTTTTGAAAGCAGCTCGCAAAGAACCAGACTTGAGTGATCTTCGAGGAGGATTTGCTCATCGTGGAATGACTCCAAATCACATGGGTGCTGGTGCCAACATGGCAGCAGCTATGACAGGAACTACTGGAATTGGATCTGGAGCACTGTTTAATCCACATATGGCTGCTGCTTCATGGAGACATTCAAATATTGTTAGTCCTGCTGGAAATCCATTTGGATCTTTTTCTTCAGAAACAGTTATGTCAAGATCTCTTGCAGTTGAAAACAGTACGGATAAACTTCAAACTCAAGTGAGCAAGTCTCCCAGAGGATCCATTGGGGGACAACTGAATGATCAAGACTTAGCTCAGACGTATAGGAATATTTTGCCTTCACCTGCTCGCCCTCCTTCCTCATTGGTGGATTCCCAGAATACTTACTCTTCTCCCCTAACAAGACAAACAGATTCCTACTTGAATAGCGTAGCAGAATTATACGCTTCTAAACCGGATTTTCGTGCTTATTCGTCAAATTCAATGATTCCAGCATCTCATAATTTAGTTTCTCAGCCATCATACTCCAGTTCTACATATGCTCCTTTAGATCTTCATATGGAAAAACAAAATGGATATAATACACAATCAGAACAAAAAATGTCAGATGGTACAACTGATAAAGAGTCATTCTTACCAACAACAAGTGTAATTGTTAGCCCTCAGTTTCACCATATACAGACTCAGAGACAAGGCCCCATAACCAATAGGTCTGGTTCAGAAGAAACCAATGGTAATGGAGAAACACTAATGTCTCAAAATGTTCAGAACATTCATTCGACACATTCTTCAAAACATCAGCTTGGAAGTAGTCCTGAATTTAATGAAGAGCACATTTTTAATTTTGGGAATAACATGCAAGAACATTCACCTTTTGCATCTTCTGCACCTCCTTCATCTAAAAGTCATTGTTCTTCAGGCTCAGCAACACAAGATTACAGTCCACAAAATATAAGTCACAATACTTCACCTGTTATGCAATCAACGTATCCGCCCATGAGCACACCAACACAAGCACCAACTCCTGTTCATCCTTCTCCTTCAGTGTCTGTTGGACAAGCCTATGTTCCCAATTCTTTTGTTTCTAGTCATGAGGATGCCACTGCCATATACTCTTCTGTTATTACTCAAGCTGGCACTGTATCTTCAAATCAGACCAACTTTTCAGCTCAAAGTGATCCTTCTTCCTCTCCAAAATCTCGTTATAATGGAGAGCATACAGCAATTTCTCAATCTTCTGTTGAAAGCAATCACCTAGACATGAGTGAACAGGCATTCTTTGATCAGCTACAGAATCAGATGCATTCTCATAATGTAGAAGAAAACTGTGTTCTTGATGTTGTCAGTACTCCTCTTGGTTCTGATAGCCAGAATGGTGTTAGTGCCTCCAGAAACCTAATGGAAGAAGATCACAATATGGTACATAGCAATGTACAAGCAGAGGATCAAGACTCTCCTCTATGTTCCATTAATAGTGCACTTGGAATGGAAGAAACAAGAACACAGTCAGCAAGTATGCAGATGAATTCCATGTTGAATGGACCACAACCACTACATCCACACATGCATCAATTTACTAACATGATGTCAGCTGAAGAAAGGATGAAAGTTTATGATTTTGATGAGTCACTTGAGCCAGTTGCCAATCAACCAGATAATTTCCAGGTGACGGGTTTTGAAAGAAAACCTGGTAAAAGGGGAAGACCTAAAGGTAGAAAAAATTTCAAGAAACGCAAAACTAAAAAAAGTACCTGCATGGGAACTGACATCAGAAGATTATATGCAGCTGAAAGAAGCACAGAAGAGTTGGACACATACTCAAAGGTCTTTAAATGGTTTAGTTACACAGAATGGTATCAGTGAAAACCCTTTTCTCCAGTCTTCTCATACGTCACTGTCAATACCACAGCAAAAAAGAGTAGCAACTGATCATTTACCACATCATCATCATCCATCCTCTGGTATGAATAATTTGCCATTACAGTTTGGTAGCTCTTATCAACAGTCAGATTTGGACATTCCTGTATCAGCTTTCCAAGATAATGTAGTCCATTTCTCAAAAGATACTTTTCAAGGAATCTCACCATCTCTAAATGCTAGTAGTGATCAGCATAACAGTTTTAGTTTCAATGGCCAAGGAGCTCAGTCGGTACCCATGGATGTTACAATGTCAACTTTACAAAGGGAAGCTGACCAAGAAGCACTTCGTGTTTCGATAGATGAACTGGCTTCAGCACTAGAAGCATCCGAACAAAATAACCGGATTTCGTCTGGTGGGATTAATGATTCTCTCTCAGTTCTCCAACATGGAACAGGACACGCAGGAATGAGTGATAGTCTCTTTAATTCAAATAGTTTTGATTTAAGTTCTTCTCTTGGGAAACCTCCAATTAGCACTTCATGCAGTGATGCAGTCCTCCATTCGTCTTCTGTTGACATACCATCATTTGGCTTTCAAAAGGATGCCTTTTCCATTGATGATAGAGGTGTGGGCATGGAAATAAAGGCTTCAAATGACTTCAGAAATGACAATAAAAAGTCTTCAACACAGGACTCTTCTGGCTTGACACTGCCATCTTTCCGTATTCATCCTGTCAAAAAAAACAGTGATAATACAAGTTGTGATGATATTTGCCAGGATTGGGGCTTAGAAACTGGTGAACTTAGTAAGTCCTTTCAGAAAAATATAAACCATTGTGAAGTATCTTGTGAAACTAGGTATGAGCCATTTTCTGTTAATGTCAGCTCATCTCTTCAAACATCAACAGTAAATCAAGGTAAGACTAACAAGTCCCTCCCAAGTATTACAGATGATTTGGGATTTCTTGACTTTCCAATGAAAACAGATAACAAAAAATCAGACTCTGGAAAACCTGGTGCATTTGGTGGTTTTTTTAAGAGTTTCCTCAGTTTTCTTACTGATAAAACAGAAGACATCCCTACAAATGCTCCTTTTGGAAAAAGAGGAATTACCTGTGGAAGAGGACGAGGACGAAGAGCAAGGGGAAGAGGACGATCTATGAATAGCTCTTTCTCATCAAATACAGCTGGAGAACAATTTTCTGTTTATGAATCAGGAATTTCTGTTTCAAGAAAAAATGACTCTAGTGGTAAAGACAGAAGCTTATCTCCAGTCACAGGAAACCTAGCTGGAGATTCTTCTCTGTCTTTTGATAGCTCAGATCTCCAGAAAATGGTTGTTCCAAACCCAGAAGCTCCATCATTTTCTTCAGATGAAGAGGATAATGCCAGTCAAGGCATTGCCAGTTCTGTAGCGCAAGCACTTCGTCATCTGTCAAACGAAACCGAAAGCACTTCAAATTCACTAAAACTTAATGAGTATTGTACATCATCGGTGTCTGGCAACTTTGTTGCTAAAACACAAGCAGCAAATCGTGTACAGTCTTGTACAAGAGAACAATCTTTAGGTTTTACTGAAAGGAAAAGAGGAAAAGACTTAAACTATCTTTCAAAACATTTTACGGTCTCTCGTGGAAGAGGACGAATTTCAAGTACACGAGTAGTTGGAAGAAAATATCAATTTTTTAATTCTACTGTCAGAAGAAAGCGTGGCAGGCCTCCCAAACCAAAACCGATAGTTTGTGGTAACATACCAGGTGGAGAAGCAAATATTCCTGGGGAGAACCATTGCCTAAATACCAATGAAAAAAAACCTTTGGTTTACCAACCTTCAGTAGACGGACCACAGGGTGAGTATAGAACATCGTGAATTATTTTTAGTAGATATTTTGTTGAAAACATTTTGTCTGCGGGGAAACAAGATTGGCTTTAGACTCAACCCAATTTGTAATGTAGGTTACAAAATATATTATTTTATATTTTTAAATATATTATATATTATTTTTAGTAGATATTTTGTTGAAAACATTTTGTCTGCGGGGAAACAAGATTGGCTTTAGACTCAACCCAATTCGTAATGTAGGTTACAAAATATATTTTGCTGATTTAAATTATTGTTGAAATGCATATAAATAAACTAAGTTATGGATATATATACCTGTTTTTCTGACATAGCTGCCTGTATCTAGTAAGTAACCATTAAAATTACATGCAATAGTATAAATCCACAAAGTGTTTAGACCTGATGTATTATACACTACCACAGTCTCATTAAATAACATTAAAAAAAGTAAATTACTATCATATCTAATAATAACAACTTTTCAAAATTAATGCAGTTGGTTTTGAAAACAATACTGTTCAAAAAAAGTTATATGTCAGTAAGCCTTTTTTCTTATAGAAAAATATATTTGATAAAAAACAATTAATCTGCTCGTTAATGTACTCAGTTCCAATAGCTTAGGCAGATGAGAATTGGATGTCAGTCTGTTGTAGGTTAACCCCTTGTTATGCTGGGTAGGCTGGGAAAAGTGTCTGGTTCAAGGACACATTGAGTAGGCACGAGCAAGTTTCGAACCTCAAGCCTTTTCATTATGAACTCAATGTACTAGCCACTAAACCATGCTGACTCCAGTTTCTAAAATTGTTTAATTAAGTTTGCTATTGACACTGAAACAGTATTTTATTAGGGTTTTGGTTTTCCACAAAAGATCATCTATTTTTAGTTAGAAGAGAGTGTGGATGAGACGTGTGTGAGAGTTTAACATTTTAAAATTTATATGTATTTTGAAAATATTATGATAGCATTTTTTGCTTTTAAACTTTTACTGAACAATTTTTTTTCTCCTTTGTTAGGGTTGACTGTTTCCTTGCAAGTATATTAAATAACAAGTGTTTTAGTTAAAATCAGACTGAAATCAGAAATATAAAGCTACTTAAGTTTTTTTTATCTGTTCTGCCAAAATTGTAAAGCAACATTGCAAGAACTTCCCCACTATAAATAATATTAATATTTTTGTAATATTCTTTGACATTTTGTTTATTTGTTTTGTAGACTGTGAGAAACGTAAAACGTTAAAAAAAAAAAAGTTTTTTTTTCTAAAACAAGATTTAAAGTGCCTCTTCCAGTGTAATTAAAATTAATTTTTTCATCTTGTTTGTCATTTTGTTTATTTATTTTGTAGACTGTGAGAAACGTAAAACGTTATTAAGTTGTTTTTTCCTGAAACAAGATTTAAAGTGTCTCTTCCAGTGTAATTAAAATTAGTAATTTTTTTGTGAATTTTAAAGAGAATGAAAAAATTTCAATAATTCTTTTTTATTGCAGTGGCTATTTACCTTTGGCTCGATTTTCCTTAACAATGAATATTTGGATCAGCATTATATTCGTTTATCCTTATTATAGATGAGAAAAACACTAAAAATCCTGGAGATCCAGCAATTACAATAAATAAAGGAGAAGACCAGCAAGATGATTCTGATTCTGATCCTATTTGGATGCCATCTGCCAGAGTAAGCTGGTTTTCTCATTTGAAATTCATATTCTAAAATGTTTATCTTAAAACTGATGTCTTTTATTGTTACCCACTCTAGACGACATGCTTTTGGTAGAATTATTTTAAATAAAAGTTATTAGGAATTTAGAGCTTCAACTGATATTTCTTTTGCTTTAACTTAATACAAGACTACAGCACAGAAAAGCTTAGAACAAAATATATATATATATATATATACTACAAAGTTGAAAAATGTGTACAAACATTTGTGAATCCAGAAATATAAAATAACTTGGAAAGGAAAAAAATTAGTTATCTCACTTGTTAATTTTGTTTACAATGGTTCTATGTTGTTTTGTTGTTTTTTTCGCCTCTTACACAACTTCCATTTTATTTGTTGTAAATATGTGTGCTTATTAACTCATGATTTTGCATCCATCCAGATGTTTTGATTATGGCCTTGTCCAGATAGCCTACATCAAAACTTTTAACTTGTGATTTCTCATCCTTCCAGATGTTCCCCTACACCCAAAGATTTAATTTTTGCAACAAGTCTTTTGTGAGGCACCTTATCAAATGCTTTCTGAAAATCGAGGTAAACCAAATCCACAGTATTTTCTTCATCAACTCTTGCAGTAACATCCTCAAATAATGTCAGAAGATTTGTTAAACAAGACTTTCCATTAGTGAAACCATGCTGCCTCTTTGACACTATATCAAATTGCTTTAAGTGACTCTGCAATGCATCTTTAATCAAACATATTTCCAACAACTGACGTAAGACTAACTAGGCGACATTTGCCCGAACAATATTTATCACATCCTTTAAATATTGGACTAACATTAGCCAACTTCCAATCTTCTAATATTCTTCCACTACTCAATGACCTATCAAAATATTAGCTAGCGGTTCACAAATAAAATTATCAAGTTCCTTTAAAACTTCTAGGATAAAAAATATTAACATTCTATCAGCAACTTTGAAATTACCGCATCAACAAATGGATCATTAACATTCGTGGAAATTAATGGATGAAGATCAATGTGATGAGCTAAAAATTGTTTAAAATGTTATGTAAAAATTATATAATCAACTGTTGAGTAGAAAATCTGAATGAAGTTTTGAACCATTTGTTACTAAACTAAATAATAGCTCAGGTACTCATTCATGAGTACTATAAATCACAAAGAATTAGATACAACGTTTGTGTGCACATTGTTAATGTCTCATGAGTAACTCGTATAGATCAGGTTATACAAAATATAGAAACAAATAATAGGTTAAATGTGTGGTAAATGGTTGGTCTAAACGTCCTTGGGTTTTTTAGACCCAGGGTGCCTGGTGTTAGTGAAAGCCTTATAAATTCCTGTGTAATGTTTCTTTTTTCCTTTGTACTTGAGTGGTCGCTATGTATCTAAAGTACTGCCTTCTTGAACTGTCGTTAAACAAAACAAAAGATGGATGACATGTCAAAAGATAACACAGTTGTATTATGGTATTGTTTTATACTAAGACTGTCCTATAGCCAAGAAGGGATTTTGTTCCATTGTATTATTAAATCGAATTAGCCAGAAAAAACGTTTCCATGAATAGTAGGAGTAA